CCCAGTTGGTCTTGGTAGGCTCTTCCTGACCAACCGGTACGCCTGCCCATTCCACTCTCATCACAGTCACTGCATCAATATCGTTCTGATCAAACCATATAGACAGCGTCGAGTAGTGTCCCGCCGGCCATTGTGCAAGTCGCCATTTCTGGACAATATGCGTAGGCTCCTCAAGCTCGGTAAACTCTCCGCTGACGTTACCGCCAAATAGCTCAAACTTGCCGCCAGGCTTGGCACCTGTAAAGTTCTTGGGCGGTGCGCGTGTGAACGCGGCAAGACGCTGAGGGTCGGTGAAAGTCTGGTACAGATTGGCTGCGTCTGTCCGGAACTCTGCGCTGTCTGTGATTGTCGTCACGTTAACAACTGCACCAGAGCTGCTCTTTTGGGAAGATGTTGCTTCGGGCTTGGAGCTGCTCGACTTGTTCACGCTCGAACTCGAGTAAACCTTGGCAGCAGTGAAGTTGGTGCTAGGGTTGGTGCCTGGCGCATGCTGGATATCCTTTGCATGCTCGGCCATGATCGCTGGTGCGAGCTTTGCGAAGGCTGTTCGCAATTGTGGTAGAATGTCAGAGCGTACTAGCTCCTTTACAGGCTGTTTGCTGCTGTCCTCAGAGTAAACATCTACCTCAAACTTTACCAAGATGTTAGCAATGATTCAGTAGCGTCATAGAAATACTGGGAAAGCAGATAGGCGCAGGGAACATACGACATACTCGTCTTCCTCGGTGTCGTGAGCGACCTCTGGAACAGTAATAGTGCCGCTAGTCTCCTCGCCCTCCTTGTTCTTGCCTGCCGACCGAGTCAGCTCGCCCAAGAGGAGTGCAACTAGGAAAATGACATACCTGAGTATTCCAACTTCAGCTTCACGTCGAAGATGGTGATGACCTTGCCCTTGCGTTGGCTCACATCGACATCTCCGTCCATGCTCACCACCTTATCAATCTTTGCTGTGACGCCATTCTTCTCCGCGGATATTTGCGCAAGATCTTTGTCAAGATACTCGCGCGTCCACACTGAGACGTCCTTGTTGACCCAATGCCAGTTGTTAGGGTTGTGGAGGACCATGGTAGCGAAGAGAGAGCGCGCGTTGGGTGATTGGTAGTAACTTTCTATTCCAAATTGGTAAGCTTCAACATTGTCAAACTGATCAAAAGAACGCATGTATCGAAGAGAAGTCAGTGAGCGACTAAAAAGTCTATGCAGCTGATCCGCATGCAAAGAGTACAAGTCTTCTCAGACTGGTGCCAGCTTGTGTCTCATCATTCAAATGTGGGAAATGTACAATGCATTACTTACAAATTATGCCCCAGGAAGCTGATCACAGAGCTGGAGGGATTGAGAAAGAGAAAATAAACGGGTTTAATTAAAAAAGATGGGTTGGAGAATGGAATTATGTAGAGTGGACATTGAGGCAGAAGTTTCTGGAACTCATATTGTACCTGCGCGCTAGTACCGGGCCGAGAAAAGATCCGGATATCCTATTGGCTCGTGCCCAAGCCACGATAGAGCCTCTTCTGACTTTCATGTAGTAGTATTCTCGCCAAAACTTTGACCTGTATACCGGGCATCAAGTTCTCAGGTGCACGCTATATTCTGTATGTTTGCGTAAAATCTCAATATCTAATTTGAGATATCCGTTGTTGTTACGGATGGGTCGGAACGCCAGACACAATGTGGATCTGGAAATATGGTCTCACCACCATCGCTTCAGATGCTCATGAACCCTTGGGCTTCTACTACGATAGCCCTATGGCATTTTGCGCTGCATCCGAATGGTTCTAGAACATACGGTAAGGGTGCAGTTTTCTCAACGGGATATTGCGCCTTGAAACAAAGGACGCAGCGATTACGATACACTACGAGCATCCTCAAGGCATTCGTCAACACGAGATACCCTCGGATGGCACAATTCAGCAACACACCTAGCAACCCCGATGTACCCGCATTTTGGATATTCAAAAATATTTGCTCGACGCTGAGGCGGTGGGATTAACGAGAACCTGTACAGCTCTCATCATCGCCTATAAGCATAAGAAAGTAATCGTTACTAATATAAATAAAAGAGGGTTGAATGACTTTTTGGCATTTTTCAAATACCGAAGCTTATTTAATAGTTTACAGGCCTTCCCTCTCAATCATTGCACCATAGCGGGCCAACAGTGGATAGCTGCGATGTTCGCTTACTGTCTGATATCTAGGATTAAATAATTACTTCTCACGATGTCTTCAAAGTATAAGAGAGAAACAAGAATAGATTCAGACCAATATGACTTGACGCCCTAACAATGTACTGTATACATCTCAAGTATCATCGGAGAGTGGGTCTAGAGCACGCGTTAAGCGCGCCGTCCATCTCGGCCAAAACGCCGTGATCCACAGCCTTGGCTTACAGCTCACGCGCATAGTAGGCGTTAGTGATCCTACCAGTCCATACGGTATAGATCATCCGCATAATGCGGGGGTTTTATATCCGCGGGGAACTATCTACGCCCGAAATCAAACATTTTCCAAAAAACGGCTTTATAAATAGTAAACTTGTTACCACGGTTTTTGTTACATGGTAACCCTCTGCAACCTGGATCAGCATTTCGTTTGCATTTTTGAATCTAAAGTACATCTATATACCTACCATGGATGCGGATAGAAGCTCAGTTAGGAAGAAAGAGATAGAGTTTGGGCAGATCGAGGCTACACACGATACTCGCAGTCCTGTCCCTGACATCCTGCGCCACTACACACCCGAGCAACTGGTATCCTTGGAGAAGAGACTCGTCCGGAAGATTGATTTGCGCTCTCTACCCATCTTAATCGTCCTCTTTCTGCTTAACGTTCTCGACCGAAACGCCATCGCCAATGCTCGTCTCGGGGGCCTGGAAGCATCGCTAGGCATCGACGATGTGCAGTACCAAACGGCCGTAATGGTATTGTGGGCTGGTTATATTTCCATGATGGTGCCATCGAACATGCTCCTTTCCATCTTCAAACCGCGACTTTACTTACCCACTGTTGTTATAGTATGGGGCATTGTGTCTGGCGCTACCGGCTTTGTACAAAATCATGCTGGATTGGTGGCACTGAGATTTCTAGTCGGCGTCACCGAGGCTCCATATTTCGCTGGTTGTATTTTCTTTCTCTCTTGTTGGTACACGCGGAAGGAGTTGCCTAGTCGCATTGCAACCTTTTACTCGGGGTACACGCTGTCATCAGCCTTTGGTGGTCTTATTGCGGCTGGGATTGTTGATGGGATGGAGGGGCTGGGTGGCTATTCGTCTTGGAGGTGGATGTGAGTGTTGGCATGATATTAAAATGAGTGAATTCTGACTTGATCACTTTTAGCTTCATTATCGAAGGTGCGCTTACGATCATCATGGCGTTTGGTGGGTATATGCTTTTACCCAACTACCCCTCGAACACCTCGTTTTTGTCAGCTGAAGAGACCGCCATGGCTCAATGGCGTCTTGAACGCGAGAACGATGGTGTAGCAGACAAGGTCGAAGAGTCCGTTTTCACTGGTCTTAAACAGGCCTTTTCTGATCCGAAAGTGGTGAGTAGCTTTGGTCTCAAGAAGATTTGGACGCTTTCGAATTTACGGGGCTAACCGTTTTCAATATCTAGCCACTACTGGTCTTCATCCAAACTTGTGCCGTCGTTTCTATGAGTTTCACGTACTTCTTCCCATCCATTGTCAAGACGCTCGGATTCCCACGCGTTCAAACCTTGTTACTTACTGCGCCTCCTTATTTCCTAGCCTTCTTCTTTTCGATCCTCAACTCATGGCACTCTGGACGCACAGGCGAACATTGCTTCCATATCGTCACTGCATGCGTGATATCTGCCGTAGGCCAAATTATCTCCATGTCAACGCATCAGACTGGCCCTCGATATTTCGCCATGTTTCTGCAAGCTATGGGTTCGTTTTCAGCTTTTCAACTCATCTTGCCCTGGGTCTCTGCCACTGTTGCGCGCCCAAAGGCAAAGAGAGCTGTGACACTTGCCTTGGCTACAGCTGTGTCTAATGCAACGAACATTGCCACTGCATACCTTTACCCTGAGTGGAGTGCACCGTAAGTATCACATAATTCTCATCATGAAATTTGATTGACTGAAGCGTCTAGTCTCTACCGTATGGGATGCATCGTGTTGACTGTGGCGCTACTCTGCTGTGCAGCTGCATCTCTCATCCTTCGATTTTGGCTCCAGAAACTCAATCGCAAGTCGGACCAGGCTATCGGTGTAGAGGGAGTAGCCAATGGATCCGGAGTTCTCTTCCGCTACACACTATAGATAGTAGCAATGCCGGCTTAGATGCGTGAGCATAATCATGCTCAGGGGACTGCTTCAGTACAATGAAGTGGCTGAATCAAATGTAGGATTCAGCTCCGCTTCGCTTTTGCGACTTGCATCCGTGTTATCCGTTCTTAGATCCTTCTGTGTATAAAGAAATTACAGCCTGACTGGCTCTATCTTGAGCGGCGTGAACAAGGGAGTGAGAGGTGGTTGGCGTGGGGGTGTATGGCACCAGTATCGCCCGTTCTGCGCTCACCTACAATCTCTGGTCATCTTTGTTATGTAATTCTTCGTATACCGAAATGGCAGTAGTTCCTGAGTTTGTGTAACTTTGTGTTTCATGAGATGAGCGTTTCCCTAAAAGATCACCAAAACCGCGATCCTACGTACGCACGAGCCTCAGGGGGCGGAGTGCAGCCACGCTACTCCACGTTTCAATTACATCAAATTGGTCTTGGAGAAAGGATCAAGTGCGCATTGTCAGTCATGAATATTTTCAGGAGTCTGATTTGGCAGTAGCAATGTTAGTCCCCATGTTAGAGGCTATGGTGTGGAGGTTGGTGTGGTACACACCTCGCCCATGCTGTTTCAGCCTCGCGCACTCAGTAGCTGTGCCGCAGGCCTACATTCATACCCTGACATGGTAACAAGTATTTTAAAGTAACACCATAGCCAGAGGAAATTACAAAACAGATTTATCATTCCCTTTCAAGATGCTACCGTCAGAGTCAAGTACTAAGAAACCTAGAATCAGTGGGCAAACACTTGCAGAAAACAATATCTTGTTTTATAGCAAGGTCCACGATCCCCACAAATTACGACGATGGGTCCAACCAATTCGTCAACTTCTCATCCGCCGGCGTACCAAAATTCCTTGCAACATCAGATACAAACTCAAACACGAGCTTGAAAATTTCCATGATCTGGACGAGAACGAGTACAAAATCATGACCAACACTGAGTCATTCGATAGTTCTGTCGATAGATGGGACTTGCAACCTAACGATGAAGATTTCGAAACTGCACCTCCACTGATGAATCTTTTTGGAAGAGCTGATACTGTAAATCTTGTGGTACTGAAAGAACTGAAATCTTGTTTTGATATCTCACAAAAGTTTGTCAAGCTACGCGGAGACCAAGCACATGAGCGCGAATGGCAAAATGTCTTGCAAGAACATATCTTCACAACCTATCAAAATGAAGACGGTGGCTCCGATTCTTTCAAGTGAGTTCTGGGACATTTGGCGTGAAACATGGCTAACTAGAGAAAGCAACATGCAGCTACGCTGGGAGCGGTAAGTCGCACCCGATATACTAACTCCGATTTACTCATCTGCCTCTTAGACATCAAGAAACTCACTGGACCGAGTTCAAGCAATCATCTCCATCTGGCTTCCGAGACGGCAAAAGTACCTTGACATATCCCGTACCGGACTTTACTTACGGATTCCCCATTATCGATACCACCGACCCTATCTACACACCATATCTAACGCAGCGACTGACTGAGAACTTCTCTCTTCCAACGCTCCACAAACTCCGGGAAGCCGGTGTGTTATCCTCGCCGCGGAAGACCCTAGCGCAATGGAACTCTTCAAAACCCACGAGGGACCAAATGCGCAGTCTAGATCTCATGTGCTTCCCCTGGGCTGTCGTTGAGGTAAAGTCCGCTGCCGTGGATGTCAGCACAGAAAGAATGTGTTATTGCCAAGCTGCGAATGCTTCTGCCGCCGCCCTTAGCCTACGAGAGAAGCTGCTTCTAGCTTCGAAAAAGAACGAACCTAACCCTGAGGCTCTCGTCATCTTCTCTTTCACATGTGTTGGTACGCATGTCAAGCTTTGGCTCACATACAGGCCCACCGTAAGTTGTCAAGGACATATCTCACATTTTGCATTGGGGCTGACATATGTTAGAAGAAGAAGGTCGTTATGCGATGTATATGGGCAACTTCATTGGAAATTTCGTGGGGTGTCTTCGTCCTACGCATGGTGCTTAAGAATATGCATGAATGGGTCAACCGAGAGGTCAGACCAGAGCTTTCTCGATGGATTGAGGGAGCCCGGGGATGTCCAAAACCCCGGTTTTTTCTGAGTCCTGATGGTGACTTGGTAGAGCAAAACAAAAGAGCTGCGTCCCAGGAGCCGCCCTCCAAACCTCCGACAGACAGTCCTGTTTTGCGAAAGTCCTATTCTTCTCAGAAAGATGCCGCACAATATTCCCAACAGACTAGCCGTATTATTCGCTCTGGTGCGCCAAGTCCAACTTTCAGTAACTTTCAAAGCGCGTTCAGGGGTAGAGTGGAAACAAACGGCGTTGGATGCGACAACGATGATGGTAGAAACGACAGCGGCAAAGACGAAGAAGCCAGTGAAGATTCTCCGGACGAAGGCTACTATAGCTCACCTAAGAAAAACACTAAAAAGAAAGCCACACCTACCTTATTATGCAAGCATAAACACGACATCTCCTGCAAGTGCGGCAAGAAGGGCTGCTTGATAATCGATAATGAAGATCTAGCAAATGGTCTCTCTTCACTTTCCCTATCCGACAGGAAAAGGTAATACACGACACTCTGGCAGCTGCATGAGCGGGTCATGCGGGAAAAACGAAGTCTTCCAGTTGGACGCGGATTGGGTGCAATTTGTGGAAAAGTCTCAACACGGGAAATACTTACATGATTGGTCGAGCCACCTTGTATTCGTACTGTATTTATTCTTGCACATCGTTTTCTACTAGAAAAGCAAATCTGCTTGCACTCTATATTGCACTAGGTGACTAGACATGTAAAATGCTTATCAGGGCACAAGTATATGGAGCACGAACTCGTTGTCGTGGGAATGCTGGAGATGTCGTGTCACGACACACGATGCATAGTAATAAGACTTGGCGGTAGTGTCCATTGACTGGTATCATACACAATATATGGAGTTTTGCCATAATAGCAACTACCCCCCTTTGGGGAAAAATACCTCGCCCGTGAGAAGACTCCTAACTACTTCCTATGTATTGTGTTCCACCATCAGGATCTCCTTCCCAGTGTCCACATCTATGCCCATATCCATGACCATGGCATTATCACCTGCGTTGCTAACAAAGCCTCCTGTCGATTGTGAAGACGTGAAGAAAGCAGCATGTGTCCGTGATCCACGACGCGGCTGATGAAGCAGTTGCTGCAAGAGTGGAAACAGTGCTAATGATGTCGCCATATTGGTTCGCAACCACCAAAGGCCAAGCGATTCTTTGATAGCATTGGTTATGTTAGGAAAGTTGTTTAAGACGCGTGCGATATGGTAGGCTGCGATCGAATACGCTAAATGGCACATGGAGGTTGTGTCGCTCCTCGGGCGATAGACACCGAGTACTCCACAAATTCTTGGGTGTGTATAGGCCCTTGAATTTTTGTGATAGTAAGTACACCTGGCTGGGACTGATCCCAGGGACGATTGATGAAGGATGCTCGTTCATCAAGTCTTCTGCAGAATCCTTCAACCACCCTTGAGGATCACCAAACGAAGCTTGTAGGCTGATTGGGCAAGGTTGAAGGTAAGGTTGAGGATTATGGTGAACGGCGTACGCAGGCGGTTGGTATGGCGAGATCTGCGACGATTGGGGCAGCCCTTTCGGGCTTATCCCCAGGCCACCCTCTTCGTACTGGAAGTCTAAGACAATGTATCTTGATGGTTATATGCCAAACCAGATTTATAATCTGCCTCGTCTTCCAAGGCCATGAATGACGCAAAAATCGATATACACGCGTAGATGTGACAGCGGGTGGATTTGTGGAATAGTATCCACCATATCCTCCAGATTCTTGACTCCCTTTCTTGAGATCTGGAGATGTATCGAATAAACCAAGCGTGTAGTCTGCCTGGTAAATATGATGGACACATACGACGAGGGAGGCTGTTGTAAGGCTCTGCGATGATCTTCACACACACACATACATATATATAGCGCAAAGTAAATTGCAAGTAGAAGTGCATCGAGATAGGTAACAAATAGGAACGATGATATATGACAGATGTTGAACGGAGGCGCTTCTGACTAAGTTTTAAAAGCAGGACATTATGGCTGTGGTCATGTGCATGTGGTGCTGTGAATGTAATAATAAGTTTGCGGCGACGTGCTTATGATGTCTTGGTTTTCGTTTTCTGTTGGTTTTCTTGCATTTGTAGTGTCATGGTTACCGTGTCCTGATTGCAGTATCGATTGTACTCATGTTTCCCGTATTTTCTACTCATGATTTTATACTTGTTATCTCATAATTGCGTTACCGAGAATGCGACGTTGTGCTTGCCCTGTGGGCAATATAATGACTTGCTTGTCAGATTGTGCTTGTATCGTGCTTGTGACATTTTGATTGCTCTACTATTGGTTTTTCTATTCTTTGCCAAAAAACTCTACTCACGAGATTTCTACAAAATTGTTACTAATCAAACCATGCGCTTTCAATCTATTTATCAAAGGTTATGGTTTCTGAGATTGATGTGTTCAGAACATCAGCACGGCTCTTTGCCTTTTATATGACAACCCTCTTCTTTGTCCTACATCGTTGCTTGCATATTTGTCCTCACGCAGACAACGAAGGCGTTGCTGAATACATATACACCCGCCCTGTTCTCACTGTTTGCGCCGCGTACGAACAACTCCGCAAGTAGATGTGCGCAACGACGATGGCGGCGTTCGTTCATTTCTTTCCTAATGTTGGGAAACCCACGACGATCACCGGTAAATGTCCTGTCGTTCTATGCAAGATTCAACTATTTCTTATGCTGTCTTCTTCGAGGCCCCTTCGAGACAGGTGCCCCCACTATCCCCGAGTTCACCAGCTGGGTACACACCACACAGATATAACCTGGCACGTGCATTCTTCACCTACCCTGGGAATCACAACACATGCTCTGTCACGCCTTAATTCCACTTGTATACAACTTCGCTCACTACTCTTCGTGCTGTCGAGCCAGTTATTCACACCACCGCTTATACACCACCACCCCCATCTTTTTCGCTTCCCCTTCTTCCTTGTCGGACGCCACTCTGCATAACGAAGCCTCAAAATGAGCAGTGAGAACCCAGTCAGCATCAAGAATAGTGCAGACGACGACGATGGAAATCAATATCACTCCTGGCTCTTACGAACAGAACATCCAACCGATAATGAATTTCCCAAAATTACTCCAGTCAGAGTAATTTGCTGATTGATAGCACCCTCAAGCACATACTAAAACCTTCTAGGTCAGATGAAGTACTCCTTGACAAGCTACAAGCGAAGTCACTTCGTCAGCATGGTGGTGTGGGTGTGCATGCACACCATAACCTTATTTGGACTCGTATGCAAGAGCTCGAATTGCGTGCCGCGAACCGGCAACTCCATGCCCACCTTGAGCTATTGCAAACATCTGTGATGAAGAACATTCCACTTCATCTACTGGTTCAGCATACATCTCCAAAAGAAACTCAAACTGGAGACGGCGCACGAACCCAACGAGGATGGAGTGTGTTGCCACGAGAACTTCAGTTGCTATACCCAATCACAACCATTGACAAGTATGCTTCCTCCCTTAGTGAGAGCATACTCAATCACTACCATGATGTAAACCAGATCATTACTCGACACGAAGCGATCATACGACAAAAGGAGCAGAAGAAGATTCTACCTCTCCGACAATATGTTTTGCTAAAGGCATACCAGAACATGCCGGTCACTATCCCTATCCACAACTGTCGCTACGCATACTTCCTCTACGAAGTACATTCACAGAAACTACGACAAACTAAACTATACATCATTATATACCACGAACCAACGATTCGGAAAAAGCAGCTGAACAGGACTCTACTTGAACGATGACATGTTTTGCTTAATTCGTGGCCGAACATGTCGCAACAACAATCTTAAAGTCCAGTACGATGTCCATCCTTCGTCAATATCTTCACCTCATTCCGCCGTCCGCGCAGCAAAACAAGCCCGTTCTCCGCTATCCCTATGCAAGGACACTACTGCCAGGCTTATCATTACCTACAGCTCTAGACATGCTTTTAGCCTCTTGGTCATTCCTCTACGTCTTCAACCTAAAGCCCAGATCGGCATCGAAGACATTGTCAAGACTGCGACAGACAGCCTGGTACCTACCGACACACTATACTGTTTCCCGGGCTAAGCCTGAAGAGCTGTATATGCGCATAATTATAGCGCAGCTTTCGCATATTCCGTGTAGTACTGATTCTCGATGTACTTACGAGTATAACTATTCACGTGCAAATGTACGCCGAGGGAGACGATGCTTATCTGCAGGCGTTCGAATGCATGATATAGACGGCATGCCCAAGGAAGAACTAGAGGTTATAGGCGCTGGAGGTTCTTAGAGCCATTGACTACCATGCCTTCGATGCCGACAGTGGATTTATATGCAGTGTTCTTCGTGGATGCGGCGGCAAGAAGCCGAACATCGACCCATCCGACCCGTATGTACAGGGATATAAGCACGACTTACAAAGGCAGCGGCAAAAGACACGAGGCAAATCTTCTACGACGTACTATTGGAAACGGAGCAGATGCAGTACTCGATGAGATTGACCAGCCCTTTGACGTTGGCGACGTGCTGGACCGCACCTCGCGGAGGGTGCAGAAGGGCACAAGCAGCAGCAGCAGCAGCAGATATGAAGGTACACAAAAAACGCATAGAAAAATTGCGTACTGTTAGCGATTGCTCTGCGCACTGCGCTGGGTCTCACTACTGAAATATATCATTTCCAAGCTTCTTCTCCAAATAGGGGTGCGGGTTGGACTATCAGGAACCCGCATTCCCCCCCCTCCCGGGAAAGGAGAGGCAGGACAAGAGAGAAAAGAAGAAGACTACTCGACGATGCGAGTGAACGGATATAGGGTTAAGGTAGGGTAGGGTTAGGGTTATACGAAGGAACTGGTCCAGAACGATATTGTGGGAGTGTTATCAAGCAGATTGATACGAAGTGGGGATTTTCGGTGGCCCTTTTGTTATATCTCTTAGTCAGATCTTTGGGGGCATACTGAATAATATGGGCGTACATGGATAGATCCACGTGTAGAAAATGCAACAAATACTTGAAAAATTATACTTGTTAAGGAATACCAAGGGAACAAGCAAATTGGCACATTGATATGAATAGTCCATGTGATAAATATTCTTCCGCGTAGTCTACTCTAAGTGTATCAGACCAAGTCCTAAGGCGACCCAATCACCTATTTCAAGCAAGTCCTGTACCTTGACTCCAATTACACATCTAAAGTGTGTTTACATGGGAGTACCACGGGGCCTATGTGACACGGCACGGTGCTTTTGTGGTTGTTCCCTGTACCTATTTCACAGTTAGTCACTATGCTCGTCTTGCTTAGAAAAAGGAAACTCACTTTGTTACAATCCTCTGAATCGAGTCCAGACCCTTCTCCAGCACATCCATGCGGGGGCCATAGCTCAGCCTGACAAAGTGGTGGCAAGGCGAGTCGAACAAGTCCCTACGCCTACTAGGGTTGAGATCGAAAAAGATACCAGGGACAACAATGACCTTCTCCTCGAGACAGGCCTGGAAGAAGTTGAGACCATCGTTAATGCCCTCGGGGAGGTTGGACAAGTCGAGCCAGAGGTAGAAAGTCGAGTTGGGCATGTAGGGGAACTTGAAGCCGATTTCCTGGAGACGGCCAATGACGTAGTCGCGCTTGGTGCGGAAGTGCATTTGCAGAGCGCGCA